CTCATGGTTTCTGTAAAATGAACTGAAAGATTGAATTGTGGAGAACCTTTTTATGATGTGTCGCATGTCCATATTGACAGAAGTTTAGACATTTACATTTGCATGCACGATCTAAGCAGCTCAGAACCAGAGCCCATGTCTAAGTGAGCCCTGCATTTATTTGTCAAAACCTGTAGCCGCACCCAGCCAGTAAAAGGGACTTGCTGTTTAACTGGGGCTCAGCTATATTTACAGTACATGCATTTATGTTGTGCACGTCCATCTGGTGGGGCAGTGTCGCTGTAGATTCTCAGTGAACTAGCAAACTGGCTTGAGCTTAGCAGTCAAAAAGAAAGGTGGCGTCCAGCCCCCTCTTATGAGTTTCTCGTCACCCAGACCTAAAACACCTGAGGGAAAAAAGTCACCATTATCTAGAATTGTACATCATGGTCAGCGGGGGGAGAATGTAACAGGGAGAATGTAACAATAACATATAATATATAATGCAGTAATCAGTAGCTTATTTTTTACTTAAGTTACTTTTTTTGGACAACGCAGAGGTTTCTTCTATATTTACATTGCATTGCAGGTTTTATTATTGTGCAAATAAACCTTTCTCAAAGCATTTTATTTGTTAATCAACATTTCTTGGTGCAAGCTGTTTTCCAGAACATTTTAAACAAATGCTTTCAAAAAGTGGTGGCTACATGTCGCAGTGTAAATGACCCTCCCTACCTGCTCCCTCCCTACAGGTTGAGTTCATGCTTACCGCTTCACCTCCACTCTCCCCCTGCTCTCTCTCTCACTCGGCCCTGTCACTTTGACCCTCTGTTTCGCTAATACCATATATTCGCAGGGTACTGTAGCTACAGTTACTGTAGTGTCCAGTCCTACAACACTGAGGTGGTTTTCTTGCCAGGTTTAACTCCTGGCTTGGTATTTAGTGCATTGTGATTGGTGAGTTTATTTAACAATGCAATGGGTCACAAAATAAAAAGTATTTTTTGGTATCTGCCCTAGGTGACTGCTTAGCTTGCCCATGCCTGAAATCAGCCCTGCGTGTATTTGACATTGCTTTGTCTTATAATATTGGGGTTTGGGTAAAAATGACTTATGTCTGTCATTCTTCTGAATGTGGCCAGTGTGCCAATGTAGGGTCTTGAGACAAAAAAAGTTTAATCTGACCGAACTTTTGCTTCAACACTGCGTCATCTGAAGAAAATGCTGCTTTGGCCAATCAAACACAATGCAAACACACATTCCTGGTGGATTAGTGTGTAACATGAACTAGTAATTGAGAGGTTAAAAATCCTGTCTGTGAGTATTACAAACCATTGTGCAATTTTGGTGTTTCTGACCCCTAGCATGGACATGGGAATGTTGAACTTTGTGGATCACCATTTTGTTTGTCTCATTCATGAGCACAAAGGTGCACACAGTCCTGCTAATGGTTTCACACTATTCCACTGAGAGGTGGTAATGCACAAACAAATGTTAATGCTCCAGCAAAGGTTCCTGTCTGGACACAAGCAATGTGGGTGTTACCACCATCAGTGTCTAGACTCCATTCATTTTAAATACCATGATGTCACAATAGGGACTTTTCACATTTTAATATTCATTGTGCACATGTCAGTAAACTATTTGTTCACTCACATGAAGTCTCTCGTGATTGAAATATAATAACACAGCACAACCATCAAAACATGTACAGTAAGCAGTGATAGATAACACGCTGTATACAAAGACCAGAGATAAAGTCCTTATCTTGTATTATAAATTTCCAGAGAAGCAGGATTCACTTCCTGAAGATCCTTCTCATTGTACAATGGAATAAACTTTTGTAGTACCTTCATGCTGCACACAGAACATAACAGATAAATAAATGTATATTAGAATAGGATAACATATAAAATAAATACAAGAAACAATATAGGCCTGTGCAGTTATTTCTATTCAAATATACATATATGTATGTATAAACCCAGGAAACACTTCTACAGTGCATTTTTTGAATTGGCGTTTGGTGGAATGTAAACAGTAGCAACAAGATAGTGATGATAAATAAGGTTTTCATCTTTACATAGAAAGTCAGAAATTTGGGAAACAGTGTCTACTTTGTCTGCGTTAGAGCACCAAGCATCATCAATGGAAGCACAAAGTCTGTCTCCTCTCATTTTGCCGAAGTCTCGCACTCTGTCGGCTAAGAACATGGTCTGCCTGGCGAGTGCTTTATTCGGGAATTTGATGGAATAGGTCTTTGTAAAGATGTAGTTACAAAAGTCTCTGATTTCCCATCGTTTGGTCAGCTTGATCCCATTTCAACCAGACCAGCCATTAGCAGTTTTAAGGCCAAGCTAGCTTAGCATGGCTCCTGTCCCGGATCTCTTTCCTCTCATATGGGACAATCACCGATGGTGGTGCCTGGCTGGGTGGATTGTCTCAAGGGCCGCTGCTCTTTAATCCAAACCCTGGCTTCCTTATCCAGTGTCATGTGTTTCAGAAATAAAATATAGTTTGAGCTGCAGCATCGGCATGAACAGCCGTTGTCAAAGTCAGCATCTCCTGAAACAGTGTATTAGAAAAACTTTGGCCCTTTAAATCAAAACCAATCAGACACAACCCAGTGATGACTTAGCAAAAAGCTACCGGCTGCTGCATCTACATGCGCCCATGGCCTCAGATCACTGATCTCCTCAGTGTGTATTTCCACGTTCTGTTCCTGCTCGACAATCATGTCATGTAGGCTAAACATAGAAGTAAAATGTCAGATAGGCCACTAGCACAATATATAATATACCCTATGTAATTACATCTAAAATTATAAATAATAATGTGGTATGAGATTAAATGTATCAGCTAGCAAATACAAATCAAAGATGATGTACCTGTCCTCCAGGCAGGGTGGAGTCACGCAGCGCTTATTTAGTTTGAAGGGTGTGGAGTTGTCATCATGTTCTTTATTTATTATTCCAAGTAAACCGGTGACTCCAGTGATAAAATAACTAGATAGAATTCCAACGAGTAGTGATTACCATATATTTATTAATAGCCTCTCTTTCTATATGGGACAGGCCTTAAACCAGACTGAATATTATACTGTATATATCAAAACCTGTAGCCGCACCCAGCCAGTAAAAGGGACTCACTGTAACTGGGGCTCAGCTAGATTTACAGTACATGCATTTATGTTGTGCACGTCCATCTGGTGGGGCAGTGTCGCTTTAGAGTGACTCACTGATTTGTTCCAGCGTAACAGCATTACGTTCAGACAGCAAGTCCTGCAGCCTCTGTGATTTTAGAGAGGAATCTTAATTAATTAACGGGATAGTTTTGTAGATGGAGCCCATCTGTGGTCTATAATTGAATTTTCCTGAGTGTTTTCACATATTTAGATAGAGTATTTTACCTGTCCAAAAAATAGGGAGCCAGGGTGGGGGTTAATAAACCGAGAAAAAAAATCCTAGATGAAAGTCTGAAATTTACAAGAAGAAATTCCCTGGAATTAATGTTATAAAAAATTTAAAATCACTCTGTGTTCTTCTGAATAGGCCCAATCCAAGGCAAAGTCTCTAAGGTGAATGATAGCGACTGTGGGCTAAACTCAGGAGTATTTCCTCACTGCTAAATCCGATTGCAAAGTTTAATACAACTTTCCAGTGCATGCATACTATGCTACTATGCTACTACACAGCAGACGTGTGTGTGAGGTTGCAGCCTTGCAAAGTGACGTTTCTCTCATAAATGTGTGACAATAATGTCAGAGAATATTCATATTATTGAATGTTATATTATGTGTATTGTCTTTGTGTCTTCAGTGAAGTGCTGGATTTCATATTTAAAGTATGTGTTTCATATTGTTATCCCCAATTCAGTAGAACTGGCTCAGTAGCATAAACAATGTTTTATTGGTGGATACAAGAACTGCACAGGATTCAAACATTTAAGTTAAATCAGCTTTTCTTTTAAGAGGATGTAAACGTATCATCATGTTCAGCTCAAAGATGTATTTTGGTGAGAAATACTGAATGTAAATGAAGTTTAAAGATGGAGATGAAGACAAGTCCATCTTTAAGCTTTTAGTACCTGAAGCAATAGTCCAACACTATTACAGCCCCTTGCATTGTTTTAGTGCAAGACCCGCTTAGTCTTTAATTGTGTGATGTGGACCATTCACACAGTGAACAGTTTTTACCTTCTTCTGTGCATCTTCACATCACCTTCAAACAAAGAAGGCCGAGTTGAGCTGCAGTTATAATGCACACAAAATGGCGCACAATAACAAGTCAATAAAAAGCATTTTTGTTTTACAGTAAAACTTTGAATAATAGCCCGGGCTTTTATTTGCTAAAATCACTGAATTGACCCTGCCTTTATTTGGGACAGGCGTCCATATGGGACAGGCCTTTAATTCTTTTTGCACAAAACTGAAACTACTATGAACCAGTTTATTTATTTCAAACAGAATAATACTTATGTAAAAATGATCAAATAATGTCATTCATTTGATCTAGCCCCAATTTTGAAGTAACATTACAACAACAACAAGGTGCAGGATGAGAGAAGTTAGCAGAAAGAGAGCGATGGACTTCACATGACTGATGGATTCATAACTGATGGTTGGACTCTTACAGACTAAAGGAATATAAATAATCAAGGAACGGACACATTCGGACTTAACGAGCGCTTCAAAGTTGAAGTTTTACGGTAATACCACTTGTAGTTGCATGTAATACAAATTAGTCATCTTTAGTCCTCTGTTTGTTGGAGAATAAAACTCTGTTTTCAGCATAAACACATTTGAACTTAAAATACAATAATACAATATAAAAATACAAAAGATGGCTTTTAACGGGGATAAGGGTATAATAAAATATCAGTACAGTACACGTCAAATGCTCCTGGAAACCAGTTTTAGAAGGACATACTCCTACGTCTCCGTGTCACTTTTGTTCCTAGCCCGTTAGCCCGAGGATACGCACAAATCTTTTCATTGGACAAATCAGTAGGACTGTCCTCACTCAGTGCTCCTGATCTCTTAATTTAGTAAACGTACTTGACATGGAAGACCTGATAATCATTTGTGAGGGTGTGTTCGTTCTGGGGATATCTATATCTATCTCAGGGTCTGACTCACGATTTGGACTAGAGAAGGCTCGCCATCTCCTCAGAATCATCTCCAGTGTATCGGTCTTTGACCCCCGTAGTGCTTCGTAACACTTGGGTAAGAAATGACAAAATATGATGCCATAGCTGGATACTAGAATGGCTGAAGCCTGCACAGGAGTACTGTTTTCATTGTTGGTGATATAGACTGGAACAAAACACACCCACACAAACAAGTACATCAGCATGCTAAAAATGATGTAGCCAGTTTCACTGAACTCCTGAGGAACTGTCCTGCCTTTGAAGGCCAAGAGGAAGCCAACCAATGCTAGCAGAGCTATGTAGCTCAACATAATGCCAAAACCTATGTATGTGGCACCTTCACGACACTGGATTATTCTCTTCATGCTTTGTGGAGATTGAGGTGCGTCATCAATGTAAGGAGAGTCAAAAATCAGCCACAGAAGACAGATGAGTCCCTGGACAGCAGTTATGATGATGACAATTACAGGTGGCTTGTACAGTGCGTGTAGTCGCCTGTTTGTCATTTGACCAAAGGGAAGGAAAGCCAGGAAGGTACGATAGGCTTTTACCAGATTGCAGGACACACACAGGGTGAAGCCCATCCCGTACATTACCTGGCGGGCCCGGCAGAGGTGCACAATGGGCTTGCCCATGAAGCATATCACACTTGCGAAGCTCACTGCCAGACCAGCCATCATCACACAGGACAATCTCACCTCCGCTCTTTTCATAGGTGGGGAATCTCTGTACACCAAAAAGATAATGAAGGTAACCAACAAGAGCAGAATGCCAAAGGCTGCAGCTGCCATCATGGTGATGGGATGAGGATCATTCCATCGCAGGTAGGACTCCAATCTTGGCTCGCAATGATTCCAACCCTTGAGAGACCAGGTTCCATTGGGACACTCTTTGCAGTTATGAAGATCTGAAAATGGTGATGTACTGGTTAAGTAGGATAAGGTCATTCTGGTTTATTTAGGTCTGCAGCAGTCATTTTCAATGACGAAATGACAGTTTGCTACAATAAAAAGTACCGAGTGTATAGCTCACTACTTCAGTTCACCAAAACATGTTGTTGTGATACAGTGTACATTTTTTGTCCCCTCAAAATAACACATCACACAGCCATTAATGTCTAAACCGCTGGCAACAAAAGTGAACCCGTAAGTGAAAATGTCCAAATTGGGCCCAATTAGCCATTTTCCCTCCCTGGTGTCATGTGACTCATTATTGTTACAAGGTTTCAGGTGTGAATGGGGAGCAGGTGTGTTAAATTTGGTGTTATCGCTCTCACACTCCCTCATACTGGTCACTGGAAGTTCAATATGGCAATTCATGGCAAAGAAAAACTGAAAAAAAGAATTGTTGCCCTACATAAAGATGGCCTAGGAGATAAGAAGATTTAGACATTAATGGCTGTGTGATGTGTTATTTTGAGGGGACAGCAAATTTACACTGTTATACAAGCTGTACACTCACTTTACATTTTTCACAAGTGTCATTTCTTCAGTGTTGTCACATGAAAAGATATAATCAAATATTTACAAAATGTGAGGGGTGGACTCACTTTTGTGAGATACTGTGCATTGAGAAGAGACCTCATGTGGACAGCATTATTCGATGTATGCTTAGTCTAAAATGCCATGTGTCATGTTTGTTTACATTTTGAAGCTAAATTTAATATAAAATGAGCATGACAATCAGGCATACCCTGGGCATCTGAATAGGTCCCCTCCACACATTGGGTGCAGTTGTAACAGCAGGACACGTTCAAGATCTTCTTTACCCAGCCAGGGTTGCAGTGCTCTGAGCATCTAGACTGAGGGGACTTAGATAAACAAGATGACAACTTAGAACTGAACAGTCTGTAGAGAGATAGACTGTAGATATTTAAAGGTCGGGTATGTGATAGTAATCCAGTACACTTCTTTTTGTCAAATTCAGTGAATATCTCCACGCTGTCTGTTGTGTGTGTGTGTGTGTGTGTGTGTGTGTGTGTGTGTCAGGTCGGTACATTGCTCTGTAAATGGGAAACAAACAAAGTGACTCAGACTGAGACACACGACCCTATGACAGCCATGATTTGTGTGTCAATAACGTTAAATGACTTGCCCACAGACATTCAGCCTACTTTCTGGTTCACCAAAACATGTTGTTGTGATGTTAGCTCTAGCAGCAGGAGAGTTGTGAGTGTCGCTGTCTGGAGCTGCTGTGCTGCTCTGGGACTGTCTCATCCTCTCTGCATATTAGCTTCACAGCATCAACTGTAACAACAGTTAGCTAACCCACAAAGTAGCTACATGTTACAGCTGTCAAGTTACATTACTTGCTGTGATGCTGTTCATACTATATCATGACACTGGAATTCACATACCCCACCTTTAAGCCTTTGTTCTACTAAACTTTGTCTTTCGAAAAAGCGGAAACATACTGGAGTTTATGGCCATATCACATGCTACAAAATAAAGACCATGTTAGCATTCAACTACAGCTGCCCTGTGTCTTTTATCACGCACTGGAAAGGTGCAGTTATGATCTGGTATATTTGAAATCATGGATTGTACTGGACCCCATTTGCTATCATTTTTGAACAGTTCTCTGTCTACTGGTTGTGTCCCGGACCACATTTAAACTGCTTGTGTCCAACCAGTCCTAAAGATAGCTGGGGTTGATGGAAGCCCAGGCCTGCAAAAAATGTTTATAAAGCTGCTTCTTGCTGCTGTGGAAAACAAAGGTTTCAAAGTAACATACAAATCAGCTCTACCTACGAAATATCAGACCCTACCTTTCTCAGTACACCATCCAGCTTCGTCCTACCACACGCCATCAGAGCAGGGATATCCCTCTCTAACTTTAAGAAGCTCTTGAGAACTCATCTCTTCCAAGAACACTTTCCCTCATAACCTATTACATTCACTTCCTGTGCTCTTCTTCTTCTATTTCCTTAAAATTCTTGTGCTGATTGCACTATTCATTAACTCTTACTTCTTTTACCCCATTGATGCGGTAGACGCTTATAGCTCTTACTACCATTTTTGTTTTTTTAATAAAGAACTTAAATGCTTATTTCTAATGACTTTTGAAAACATATTGTACTTGTTAGTATTGCTCAAAGAGGGTATTTACACTGACAGAAGATGGAGATGGAGAGTACCATAAAAACCATGCTATTGCATATAACCTGCTAGTTAATGTAGCTAGCCATAGAGTTTTAGAATTTACTATGTCTACTAGCTATCCATACAACTTACAAGCTCGTCCACCTAAGTTATTTCTACTCCTCTTCCTGTGACCTCTGTCCTCTTCCTCTTAAAATACTGTTGAATGCTCGTGACATTTTTTTTTTAAATGTAAAAAAACAGGTTTTTAAGGCCAAGGATGGTCACAGACAGGGGCAAACAAAGGGCCCAGGAGTTTGTCCCTGGTGCTCTGGGTCTTTAGAGACCTTTATTCCTGTATTCTTGAGAATTGTATGCAAGTAGAGTACATAACTAAATGAGCCTTTAAAATAATAACACTAGAAAACTCTCTTTAACTCTCCTAAAGTAAAGAAATCCACTAAGGTGAGTCG